AAATGGATTACACATACTTCAGAGGTCAAAAATAATGACGTCATAAACAAAATACACATAATTCGGACGTCTAGAAATTGCGACGTCTTAAAAAGTTACATGAATGTACTTGCGTCAATGAAATAAATTGAAATAGAAACGGAGCATATTAAAAATGCTCAAATGAATACATTGTTCAATTGTAAAAGTTAAAAACATCTGATAGTAAAAATGAATTTCAAAGCACAATACTTAGTTCATCTGAACATATTAAACATACGGATTTGTAAATTCAAAATTTATAAGAAGTGCTCGAAATTTCCCGCGTTCAAGACCAGTTTTAGAATTTCAATAAACATGTTCTCATTTAACTCTCTTGCAATAGTATCTGATGTGTTAATTTGGTAAATTGGTAAAACTAAAAACTGATAATTTGAACACTGATGAACTTTTTTGTTAACTAATAAATTTTGTAATCTATCAGTTTTGGCTGGTTGACGATGGACTGCCATTCTTTGACGTAGTTCATTTCCAGTTTGACCTATGTATAGTTCAGAGCATCTCTTACAAATTACAGCATAAATCACATTTCTTGATTTACAACTCATATTACATCTCATTGCAAATGTTATGCCATTCTTAAAAACAAACGAGTTACACTCAACAATCATAGAACATGTTCCACATCTCGGTTGCATACACTTTGTCACGCTGTACATTTACATTTATTTTCTCATCAAATCAAACGTTTCAGATTCCTTGGTTGTCTTTTGCAATTAATTATTTTCTTTTTCTCCAAGACACGTTTCATTGTTTTGCTATTCTTTAAAAAATTTCCGTGAACTTTCATAATTGGAAACATGTTAAAATTGTTAGGGTTGAATGTTGTAACAAACGATATAATATCCTTTTGTATTGACACTATTTCGGTCGTTAACTGAAATTGGACCCTTCTCCTTAGCTCTTTGAATACCGTTAAATATAATTTTGTCTGGATAGCATTGATAAGATTATCTACTGAATTATTTAATCGCTCCTATAACTTACATTTATCACTGACTATGGTAACTTATCTAGATGCCAAACAAAATGGTATGTTAACTTTTGTATGTTTGGTGTACCTGGAATGAAATCAAAGACAGTTCTGGGAATCAGTTGGTTTGCAATACAAATCTGTAGATATGTGTCCGTTTGTTAATTCTACCAAAATATCTAGAAAAGGAAGTTTATCATCACTAATTTCCATAGTAAACTGCATATCCGAGTGTAAGGAATTTAACTCAGAATGAAAATCACAGAGACATTTTTGTCCGGGGGCCAGATGATAAAACCACCATCTAAAAATCTCAAAAAAACTGTTTTTCAAAAAAACGGAAATTCTTTATCTAAACTCTGTTCTATTTTGTCCAAAAGAATCTCTTCCAAATATCGTAACACTAAAGTTGCATAAGTAGGGGCAACTTTAGTACCCATTGCCGTACCCGTACATCGCTGATAATGGTTACCATTGAAATAACACGTGTTTCTTTCTAGAACAATTTTGGGGGCGCTTATTATAAATTCTTTTCTAAATCTTCCGTTTACATAGTCCGGATATCTCTGTAACCAATATTTAACAGTCTTTATACCTAAATCATGTGGTATGTTAGTATAAAGGCCATCAAAAGAGACCAATTTGAAACAAACTGTCACTGTCTTCGTAAACGAGATAAAAAGTCAAAATCGTCCTTAATGACACTTTTAACAGCTGGACGTAGTGGTTTTAAGATGATATCCAGAAAATGACTCAGACGTTGCGTAACACTTTCGGGACCGCCAACAATATGCCTAAATCTTAAATTATCTGGACAAAATATTGAAACGTTTTCTGAATTCTGCTCCGTAATAGCATTATGAATTATTTTACTCCTATGTATCCTAGGTAGTCCATAAAAATTACTCTTACGAAACGAAAAAATTTGTGAGGTAATCAATCACTTCCTCCATTAGACCTTCACTACAAGGATCTAAGACATTCTTGATAAGTTTCATTGTAACAGAATCAATATTTTCAGATGTGATTTGATAGAAATCCTCATCAGACAGCATTTATAATATTTTATCACGATAGTACTCACTATCCATAACAACAACCATACCTCAATTATCCGCCTCCTCTTTATTTACAATAGACTTATCATTAATCAAACTTTCGATTGCTTTACGTTGTTTGAAGGAAAGATTATTTTTAACCTTGTTACCTGACAAAGGATTATTTTCAGAGCTTCAATAGTGGATTCTAAGTAAGAATCACTACTTTTTGGCGGATTCCATTTAGATGTGTTTCTCACTAAACCTTCATTATCAGGAGATTCCTCTTTATCACATTTTTTTTCTTCTAAACGCAGTTTCCTGCAACAATGTAATATATCTCTTTTAAGGTCTTTGTCATCATATTTTGGTGTTGGGCAACATTTTAAACCTTATTTCAATAACTCAATTTCATCCTCAGTTAATATTTTACTTGATAAATTGATGACTTTAGGTTGAATTTTAGCATGTTTACCATGTCACTTACCACTTATAAATATATATATAATCCGTAAACACATCACCACCCTTGCTTAATTAAACATTTTCTGTGTAACGTTATTTGCATTGTTTCAAGAACCAAATAAATACAATATGACGACTTGGCCAAAAGGCAATTGTTTATATTCTGGAACGATACTAGGCGATAGATCACTCAAGCGTGACCATGCCTGTAGATTTCAGGTCGGAAAACTAGATCTCTTTTACTTGTGTACTCGTTTGGCTTATACGAACTCGTGAATTATATTAAAACATATGCCACATTCACATTATTAGGTATTCTGTTTATTATTACATTTTTATCAACAAAATCCCACCCCCGAACGCGAAGCGACACTTATTAAACTGACAATTTTTGATCTGGTTAATTGTCTAAAAATTATTGCGGGATAAAATATAGTTTTATGTCCAAAAACTTGAATTTGAGTTTCCCCGAATTGATGGTTTACATAGTCCACTGGCTTCCATGAAAACGAAAGTTAACTGTGGAATAACATATTCTATTATATGACTGGTGCTGATTGGAGGAGCGACGTCATGTGAAGAGTCTGTAAATATGTAACAGAACTCGTTCTATGAATAGAAAAGTGTTACAAACCTCGACCTATAAATAGAAAAGTGTCACAAAAACGCAACTAAAAATAGGCCTAGGTAATTTCCCAGCCAGTCTGTAATTCTAATACTAATCACACTGCTGAATTCAACTACAAATGAATTATCTCATTAAATTCTGAACTATGTGAACATTGATGATGTCGATTGTACAAACAATATTTACTTTAAATTAAATATCACTCGAATTGAATCTGAAATTCAATTTTTGTGTATGTTATTTTCTATTTGAAGTCCTTCACTCTGTAATTCCAAAACGGTCCATGCCATTCATGTGTTTATGACTTGAAAAAGTATTTATCTCATTGTAAAATGTCATATAATAAAACAATTGTGGACTTCAGTTTCAGTCTATCCCTAATTTACGGACCTGATCTGGATAATATCCATCTCGGCCTTCGGCCTTTGTGAGTATTCTTTAGATCAGATCCGTAAATCAGGAATAAACCTCACCTGAAGTCCATAATTGTATAGTGTTTACCCCAGAGAATAGTCCCCTTACGATTTGTATAACAGATGTATCTCAGAAGGGTTTTCTCTAGGCCAATAGTAGTTTGTAATCAGTGTTTTGATTGGTCAAATCAGAGAAAGGTGAAAAATATCAGTTTTTTTACTCAATGAAAAGTATCACTTTATCCAGGGACGTATATACTGTCCCTGCTTTATCGAATGAATAAATTTCAATATTTCACTGATAAAATTTAATAAAATTTCGTATCTTTACGTCCAAACATTGCCATGGGAATCCCCAGATTGAGTACAATCCTATGATTCAATGTTGGAAGGTAACCTTGTGTACATACCTCCGTGTATCCTATAGCGTGGAAGGTTCCTGAAGTGTTGCTTGTTTACGGTATTAGGCTTCTCACGTTTAAGTTTATAGTAGAATGACTTGTAGAACCCCTAGTACGAATTACAGCTGATTGAATCGATTGTCATCGTTCTCTTTAACAACTAAATGAAATGGACTTGAGCAAAGCTACTATTTGAAATAAAGCTCAGGGCCCGTATTCATGAAACCGTTCGCATGGTCAAGCATGACTTTTGTGCTAAACCAGCTTTCTTGTAACTCGCTTAAATTATGTCCAACGATCCAATGTAAGCATTCAAAAATATTTCGCTTTAAGTCTCTTGAATTCTTTTTCATATCATTTACAAAATAAGATTGTATTATTAATGTATCAATGGTTTCATGAATACGGGCCCAGTTATCGATGCGCAAAATAATTGGACGCGCAAGGTTGCCGGAATTCACTGCACTGATTTCTGTTTCATAGCGTGTTTGATGTATATTAATTAAAAGGAACTCGCGTAAAGGCTCAAACAAAAGGCGAACAAGAATCAATTGGGGGCAATATTCTTCTGTTACTTTTCGATTACGTATGGATCTGTTTGCTCTGTTGGTATTTGTATAACTATAGTTAAATAAGAAAGACATTGAATTGAAGTTTGAACGGCGGATAGTTGAGTACCGCCATTACAACCACGCGCTAGGTCAGGTGGTCATATTGATATAGATCACAGGTTTTAATTAATATATTCTTGTCATATTTGGGTTACAATATGGTTAAGTCAACACTTCTGTCGTCGGGGGATTTGTTCGTGTAAAGGTTCTAGCGGCATTGGAATATAAAAGCAAACTGACGATTTAAATAGTAGTTTTAAAAAGTGTGTCATTGATCATGAGTAGTTGAATCTCATATTACAACAAGCGCTTTAACCGTCAATGAAGGGTTCAGGTAGTACAGACCAGCCCATAGTTACTACAGGACTTACACGACAAAAGAAGCGCGACCATGTCATGAGGATAAGTGTTGACTGACTACGATATAAATAGTCCACACCAGCGCATGGGCAAAAGCTTGCAGGACACACGTGAGGAAACCAGATTGAGAAAGTACGTATGTATACCATAATAACTACATCAAAGCACATACACACCAACACATATTTACACATGTCATTTATGCTTTAAAACATACATTTTATAAACAATTCTAATATTTGTTTGGATATATTGACTATTCTTGATAAGATCCAACCGTCATGTATGTAACATCTTGTGCACTACGCGCGCTATATATACTGGTACCAGAGTTCATGTGTATTATAGACCGATGTCTATAGTTTTACAAGCATTCACTGCTCTAGTAACGGAATAATATTTTGATTACATTTGAGTACATGTGTGTTCTTGTTTTAACATTATTGTTCAGCTCATTATACACTCGCAAAGCTGATGCCTAGTTGAACACCTATAGTGTTGTCTGACTGGTTTCAATATAAATCAATCAAGCAGTTTATTATTTACTAAAGTTTATCCGATAATCCAGGTGGAGTTTAAATTCTGTGTGTAGTATTTTAAGTGTGTTCCGTACTAGCCTTTTTATATCTTGTAAAACTGTTGTACATTGGGATACATTGAACTAATAAGGCCATATTAATTACAATTGACAGGAGAATGTTAACATACGTAACGTAATGAAAAGGTTTCTACAAATCGACGTCGTAGAACTGATGTTAACATACACGGTTTGAAATATTAAACATAATTGTGAGCGTTATTTGGAGATTTCAATTCAACATGCCTAACAGTTTATTCCTTTGAACTTCACTTCTTTATAAAACAGAACAGATAATCTATTACAAGAGCATTTAAATCCACCAAGTGAATGACCGGGAATCAGTCATCGTAGTGCAATAGTTATTTTGAAGCTACAGTTATATTAATAGACAGGTTATCGTGGTGTATCGATTGTCGTGATGAAGTATCTAGTGATATACAGGTTATCGTGGTGTATTAGTTGTCGTGATGTATTATTTAGCGATATACCGGTTTTCGAGGTGTATCAGTTGTCGTGATGAAGTATCTAGTGATAGACCGGTTATCGTGGTGTATCAGTTGTCGTGATGTATTATCTAGCGATATACCGGTTACCGTGGTGTATCGATTGTCGTGATGAAGTGTCAAGCGATATACCGGTTATCGTGGTGTATCGATTGTCGTGATGTAGTATCTAATGATAGACCGGTTATCGTGGTGTATCGATTGTCGTGATGAAGTATCTAGTGATAGACCAGTTATCGTGGTGTATCGATTGTCGTGATGTTGTATCTAGCGATAGACCGGTTATCGTGGTGTATCGATTGTCGTGATGAAGTATCTAGAGACAGACCGGTTATCGTGGTGTATCAGTTGTCGTGATGTTGTATCTAGCGATAGACCGGTTATCGTGGTGTATCAGTTGTCGTGATGTAGTATCTAGCAATATACCGGTTACCGTGGTGTATCGATTGTCGTGACGTAGTATCTAGCGATATACCGCTTATCGTGGTGTATCAGTTGTCGTGATGTAGTATCTAGCAATATACCGGTTACCGTGGGGTATCGATTGTCGTGACGTAGTATCTAGCGATATACCGCTTATCGTGGTGTATCAGTTGTCGTGATGTAGTATCTAGCAATATACCGGTTACCGTGGGGTATCGATTGTCGTGACGTAGTATCTAGCGGTATACCGGTTATCGTGGTGTATCAATTGTCGTGATGAAGTATCTAGCGATATACCGGTTATCGTGGTGTAAAAGTTATGCTGATGAAGTATCTAGTGATAGCCCGGTTATCGTGGTGTATCGATTGTCGTGATGAGGTATCTAGAGACAGACCGGTTATCGTGGTGTATCAGATGTCGTGATGTTGTATCTAGCGATAGACCGGTTATCGTGGTGTATCAATTGTCGTGATGAAGTATCTAGCGATATACCGGTTATCGTTGTGTATAAGTTATGCTGATGAAGTATCTAGTGATAGACCGGTTATCGTGGTGTATCGATTGTCGTGATGAAGTATCTAGCGATAGACCGGTTATCGTGGTGTATCGATTGTCGTGATGAAGTATCTAGCGATATACCGGTTATCGTGGTGTAAAAGTTATGCTGATGAAGTATCTAGTGATAGACCGGTTATCGTGGTGTATCGATTGTCGTGATGAAGTATCTAGCGATAGACCGGTTATCGTGGTGTATCGATTGTCGTGATGAAGTATCTAGCGATATACCGGTTATCGTGGTGTAAAAGTTATGCTGATGAAGTATCTAGTGATAGACCGGTTATCGTGGTGTATCGATTGTCGTGATGAAGTATCTAGTGAGTTACCGGTTATTGTGGTGTATCAATTGACGTGATGAAGTATCTAGTGAAAGATCGGTTATCATGGTGTAAAAGTTATGCTGATGAAGTATCAAGTGATAGACCGGTTATCGTGGTGTATCGATTGTCGTGATGAAGTATCTAGCGATAGACCGGTTATCGTGGTGTATCGATTGTTGTGATGAAGTATCTAGCGATATACCGGTTATCGTGGTGTATCAATTGTCGTGATGAAGTATCTAGTGAGTTACCGGTTATTGTGGTGTATCAATTGACGTGATGAAGTATCTAGTGAAAGATCGGTTACCGTGGTGTATCAGTTGTCGTGATATACAAGTAACACCAATGTGTCAGTTACCGTGATTTCTCTAACAACCATTAAAGGTTTCCCTATGGTTGACATTATTGTTTACTCACTAGGGGTAACGCACTGGGGCTAATATCATTTGTCAATCTTTTCAATTCTGACGTCACGTTATAATGATTCGCGACGTCATCTTTTACTGTGACGTCATGATCTATGACAATTGTTTCCATATATTTGAAACAGACATCAAGTTGTTTTCATAATAAACATGTGGTTTTTCCATGTAAATATAAACGTTGCGGGAGAAAAAAGGTCTACAAACTCGTGATTGTTGGTTATCATGTTTATCTAACTCTCGTGAGTTTATTTTCAAAATGTAAAAGACATGTGGTAACCCTGGTGTTTTTATACAATTTGGAAATTAACAAACTCGAGACGTTACATGGTAACCAAACCCCAATCGATACGGAACCTCTATTTATCGATATCGTGTTATACAGGTTATCGTGGTGTACCAGGTACATGTATCATGATGTACGAGTAAAATAGTTGATGATCCAGTAAACAATATATATTTGCGGGTCGTTGTTTATAAAAGTAGGACAGTGTTTAAAGGATAAGTTTATAACTTGAATATGATATTTGTCAGTATGATATTAGCATAATACAACTGGTACATGGCAATTACTGATCCGGGTACAGCATGGTGTCCAGAGACTGAAGTTTACAGGCAAAAGGACGAATCAAATTAATTGATTTATTTTCAAATACAAAAATCAAACAATATTTTATTCAAGACACTTAGAACTGATATCCAATACTTCTATGCATCTGCTTGGTTACCTTGATTCGTACATATGGTCCTTATTTTCCTCGGACGTACCCGCGAAACGAACCCCCGTGTTTGTTCTCGTCTCTGTGTCAATGTTTACGCCGTCAATATGTGACATCGGCAATATATGCGATGTCGACAATATATGTGACGCCAATGATGATGACGTCATAATAGAGAAGCAGTACTAGTGTAGCGAAACTAGGCTGTGACGATCCAGTCTCAGGAACTGATTTGAGCTCGACAGGTATTGTAACTGCGGGAAGGTAATACTGGTGGTTGCCTAACATGCGAATTTCTACGAGATAGACGCCATATGATATGGCTTAGAGAAGATGGTGACGTGATTTCCGTCATTGTTATTATTTATATTTTCCAATATTTGTATTGAAAGCTGTATTTAATCTCAGGGAAACTATACTCTAAGGTGCTTAACTTTCAACATATGGCAGGAATAATATTCAAAACGATAAGTCGAGTGTGGGGAAGCCTTGCTCTTTGTCACGTTACCATTATTGTCATGAAATATGTAATGTATACGACTTTTTTCTGAACTCCTGACGTGAACAAAACAAACTGTTTCCTTATTTACCAAATTCCATGATCGATTCTGAAGCTAAAAGCCAAAAGAATAAGCATTGAATGAATATAAAGTGAAAGTAGGAAATATCTTGTTTCCCTGTGCCTGTCTCACACTCTCTGTGAGGTGCATCAGTTGTCACTATGTAACTATGTTGACAAGCCAGGTGAATTCAATTCAGCCATTAACATGTCAAGAAAAGCTGGGAAAAAATTAGACGTGTATATCTGATGTATGGGAGGTGTATTCCTGATGTATGAGAGGGGTGTATCTGATGTATAGAAGATGCGTATCTGATGTATAGGAGGTGTGGATTTGATGTATGAGAGGTGGGTATCTGATGTCTAGGAGGTGTAGATCTGATGTATGGGAGGTGTATATCTGATGCATGGGTGACGGCTTCCTAATGTATGAGAGGTGTGTATTTGATGTCTAGGAGGTGTATACCTGATGTATGGGAGGTGTGGATCTGATGTCTAGGAGGTGCGTATCTGATGTATAGAAGATGTGTATTTGGTGTATGAGAGGTGTGTATCTGATGTCCAGGAGGTGTATATCTGATGAATGAGAGGTGTGTATCGGATGTTTAGGAGGAGTATATCTGATGTATGACAGGTGTGTATCTGATGTCTAGGGGGTGGATATCTGATGTCTGGGAGGGGTATTCCTGATGTATGAGGGGTGTGTATCTGGTGTATAGAAGATGTGTATTTGATGTATGAGAGGTGGGTATCTGATGTCTAGGAGGCGTATATCTGATGTATGAGAGGTGTACTCCTGATGTATGAGAGGCGTGTATCTGATGTCTAGGAGGTGGATATCTGATGTATGGGAGGTGTGGATCTGATGTCTAGGAGGTGCGTATCTGATGTATAGAAGATGCGTATCTGATGTATAGGAGGTGTGGATTTGATGTATGAGAGGTGTATTCCTGATGTATGAGGGGTGTGTATCTGGTGTATAGAAGATGTGTATTTGGTGTATGAGAGGTGTGTATCTGATGTTTAGGAGGTGTATATCTGATGTAT